AACTCACGGAGAAAAGAATTAACTCACGGAGAAAAGAAATAGCCTAGCGGCGGGAGCCTAAGTATGATTTACCGCAAAGCATCTTGGACTATAAGATGGCGGACGTTCTTTCACCTTTCACGTTCGAACTGACTGAAATCATGTTTTGCTCAAGTTGTGAGGCACTTGGAGTCATGGAAGCACTTGGAGTCAGTTCTCCAAGTGATTGTGAGGTAGCACTTCAGTTGTATACCGCGCTGATGGATGTCTCCAATAATGGTAGGTAAATTGCACTGTATAATGTAATCAATTGTTATTTATAGAGTATAAACACTAAAAGAATGTAACACTATGTCTATTACTACTAACTAGCACTAATTACTCGGGGTTCCTGTGGAACCGCGAGGTTAGGATTCACCTTTCTTCGTCGTAGTATTTTTTGTCTTCATCGCTAAAGTGCCCTCGCATGCGCAGTATGATCAACCTTTCTCAGTCACGTGACATTCTACCATGTGCTCTGTGTAAATTTCAATGGCGAACGATCCGATGTACAGTATGATTTAACCTCCTCTTTAAATACGCTCAAATCACATACAAATCCACACGCCATTTCATCTTTGGTCAAAATGCAGGACAACAATGTGTTGCAATGAGTTTATGTTCTTTAATTTTTAATAACATTAAAGGAATTAATTCACCAATAATGACCTTGTAAAAATAATGGACATTGGAAATGAGTTGTAAACTCGGTTGTCACAATCGGCAAGACAGTCATTTCTCATGCAGTCAGAACTACCTACACGCTTAAATGTGTTTGATACTGATTATGAAGTTCAATATAGTGAGAGTTATACAGGTAATACGCATCAAGAGACTATAATAGAAGGGTATGACAATTGTACTTCATTACAAACAGCATTTCGATCTTTAATGTCTAAGTACATAAACTTATTCTTGAAATTAAAGAGTGTACTTTCCAACTATATCTGTGTTGACTAACTTAATGAGTTTTGTGATTTGAATGTAACAGTCTTTGTCAAGTTCGTTTTGCTCACACAACCCAATCAAAGTTTATCAAAGTACAATTTGCAATGCAATGGTTTGCCCTATAGTGTATATATTTTCAATGGCAAAAAGGAACATGCATGTATCTCAACCAATAAACACACCCTCAAGTTGTAAACTTATTCCGAGCTCTAGATATACAGTAGTTCAGTCTTAGTTGTGCCACTTAAATTTATTTTCTATGCTGATCCGCACACTTGAAACAAAAGAAACGACAAAAGCATACAAATTTTATTGATATAAAAATTTAATATATTGATTCACCACTACATCATTGTCTGATCAAAGATGATTTAGATTTTTATCAAAGAGAGCCCCGAGTTCACGCAGCTATGCGTCTAGTTATTATATAATTATCCATAAAATACCTATATTTCTCCTTTTCAAAAAACTGTTACTTTCACATGTGAAAATATCATCACCATGGTTACGCCTTAAGCTTTTTTTAAAAAGCTTATAAAGTTGATTTTATGGACAATTATAAACAGATTACATGGGCACTTGGAGATATGAAATTCATCTTCTCGTGTTGAAAATCTTGAGATCTTTTCAACACTCTAAGAT